TTTGTTTGTTGTTAATTCTTGTCATTAAACCGCTTCCGCCGCGCCCTCGCCGCCAATGCCCGTGTGAGGCCGGCACGTCGCGGGGGCCATGGAGGGCTCCACCGGCTTCGGCATCGACTCCATCCTCTCGCACCGGGCCGGCAGCCCGGCCGTGCCCAAGGGGGACCCGCTCGGCGGCGACGGCCGCTCCCCGCTGGAGCTGAGTCCCCGCTCGGAGGGCAGCAGCGGGTGCCCCTCGCCCCGCTCGCCCGGCCGCGAGTGCCTGGAGGCGGCGGCCCCGCGGCCGGGCCTGGACGCGCATCTCCAGCCGGGACAGGTCTCGGCTCCTTCCCAGTCCCGGACCGTCACCTCCTCCTTCCTCATCAGAGACATCCTGGCCGACTGCAAGCCCCTGGCCGCCTGCGCACCTTACTCCAGCACCAATGGACCTCACGGCGGGCAGGAGCCGGCGGGCAGGATCCCCACCAAGCCCGGCGAGGACTTTAGGGAGAAAATGGACAAAAACACCAGCAGCTCCTCTTCGGATTCGGAGTACAAAGGTAAGAGGCGCTCGGCCTGTGGGGCTCTGAGCGGAGAGCGAAGGCGGCCTAGCCCGCAGCCTCCCGAGCCCGGAGCAGCCGCCCCGAAACGAACGCGGGGTCAGCGCCAACTTGGGCAAACTTGGGGGCCAGAGGGGTCGGGGGTCTCGCCAGAGGCGCCGCGGAGGATCCGCCGGTTCTTTCCGTGGGAAGGTGCGGCCGTTTTCCCCTTTCCGACCGCGGGGAGAGGGGAGAGAAGAGCCGCGGGGGAGGAATTTGCCTGAACAACAACAACAACCGAACAACAACGGCGGGATTTTGTCGGGGCTCTCCCCTGTTGTGAACAGCAAACGAATACGAAAGTCGCCGTGTTTAGATCCGATTTCCGTCGCTGTTTGTGTGTCGGTTATTCGGTTATTGTTTTGGGGGGGAGCCTGGAGGCGCCCCGGGCCGGGATTCTCCCCTCTCTTTTCCCCAGTCCCTGTCCGGCCTCTCCCTCCCTCAGCCGGAGCAAAGGGGTCCTGAGGTCTCCGATGGGTAGCCTTCGCCCATCCCGCCCTCATCCTCCTCAAAACTTTCACCCGGATAAATTGTTCGACGGGTGTTTGCGAGGGGGGCCAAACGGCCAGGGGGTCCCGGCACGGTGAGGGGCCGCTGGGCTTGGGGTACCGGGCTGGAAGCGGGGTACGGGCCCAGCCCCGGCCCTGCTCCCGGGGGCGAGGCCGCCCGAGGCCGCAGGACTGAAGCCCGGGAGGTTTCGGAGAGGAAAAACCAGCAGGGAGACCGGGAGCTGGAGCGGCCCGGGGGCTGCGGGAGATGTCGGGGCATCCCCCTTTGCTCGGAGAGAAGAGTCCGAGGCTGGGGCCGGCTCTGCGAGAGACCGGGAGAAAAGCTGGGATCGACTCCGCGGTTTTGAAAGGCTGGAACCGAAAGCAGCAGCGATTCTCCTCTTTGGGCTGTAATTTCATCTCCGACATTTTTTTTCCCCTGAATTCTTACACTCTTTGTCCCCTTTCCCGGTGTGCCGAGAGAGGAGAGAAGCGGGAGAGGAAAAGAAATGCGGCAGAGCTCGCTGCTGCCAGGGGCACATTTCGGTTGTTGTTCTTAGCCCAAGACAAGGAGAGAAACGGCCGCCCGGAGCCGAGCCCGAGGCGGGGACGGCAGCATCGCGCTCCGCGTTAGGCAAAGGCACCGCGATGAAGATCATCGCAGCGATGATGATGGTGGAAACCTGGGGAAATCTCTTCCCGAGCACCGGCTCCTCGCCTTCTCCCCTGCATCGTCAGCCCCCGATAAAAACATCGTTTAAATGGAGAAAAAACATCACTTAAATCGGGAAAAATATCGCTTAAATGGAGCTGAAAACATCTTGTCAATGGAGATAAAAACACCGTTTAAATAGAGTAGAAGATGAAGGGTCGGGGTCCCAACGTAGTTCTTTTCTTCTGCTTTGGAAATAGCCTTTCCTCGGGCAAAACGCACCCGCATTTACTCCGGGAAATGGGCTACAGAGCTGGGGCCTCCTCGCAGAGAGGACAGCAGCATTTGATCTAGGCAAAAGTGCCGAAACACTCGTTATATATATATGTGTGTGTGTGTGTGTATATATATATGTATATGTATATGCATACATAGTATTATTTAATTATTGTTTTGTAAACTAGGAATAACCAGGGGGAGAGAGACGAAGCTGAACGGGGAAATCTCCCCCGCTAACGAAAAGGAACTTTGCGGAGCAGGAGGTTCATCCTGGCGGCGGGATTTCACCGGGCCGGCCGACGGGCTCCAGGAATTTTCTTTTCCCGGGATGCGGGAGCCGAAGCTCGGCTTCCTCCGCTCGTTTGCCCCCAGGCAAGGCAAAACTCGGCCCAAACTTTGGTACCTTGGCAGGAGGCGGCGGGGCTGGTGCCCACTCTGCCCGGTCCCGGCCGCCCATCCGTTCAATAGAACCGGGATCTTCCCCGGCTCGGGCTCTGCCTGCGTCCTAGAGCCGGGATTTCTGGTTGAAAGGTTTCGCTCCCCGGTGGCTCAATTAACCGGATTATTGTCTTCCTACAGAGAGAAATCAACTCGCGTTCAGCTCCAGCCCTGTCACTTCTAACGACTTGCACGAAGAAATTTAACATAAACCCTCGTAAAAAAACTAAGGCCGCCTATTTATATAAACGGAGCTTTTTTTTGCCACCTAATCCAGGAGGGTGGGAAAGGCGAGGACAGAGCTTTTTTGTGAGAGCTTTTTTGCCAGAGCTTTTTGCCTTTTTTTTTTTTTCTTTTCTTTTTGACTTTTTTCCCCGCTTGCTCGGATATTTTCCGGGCACCGTACAAATTTTTTGCGGCCCAAATCGCCGCCTTCCCCGTCCCCGCGTTGCTGTCACGTATCGATCCGCCGAGCGCACATTCCGCGAGCACCCAGGGCCCCGCTCCCTTCCCAATCCGCCTCCTCGCGCCTCTTTCCAGGGAAGTCGCGGCAGGGGAGCGGGCTGGCGGCGCCGCTTCCTCAAAATTTCGTTGTAAACCTGGAAGGGGGGGTCGTTTTCACGCCTTGCGAGAACTGGGATATCGCGGGGGGGTCCTCGAGGGCAGCGAAGCCTGAGGTGTCTCCTCCGTTATTTTCCACTCCAGAAATACGGCCTCGCCTGATCCATTTGGCTTGGTTTGTGGTTAAAAACAAAGGAAAAACAAAACAAAACAAACAAGCAAACAAAAAGCAAGAATACTAGAATACTGCTTGGGGTCTCAGCAACAAAACCCGGGTAGGATCCTGCCCAGGGTGAAATGAGGGTGCGAATCTCCAGGTCAAGGCGCTGTGCAGCTCCCGGAGCGGAGCAGGAGCCGGCGGAGAAGGAGGCAGCGCTCCCAGCTCCGACCACGTCTCCCTCCTGGTTTTCCAGCCCTATTGCCAGGCCTTGGGGATGGGGACAGGTCGGGACGGGCCTTGGGGACACCTGCGAGACCCCCTTGGGCGCGGGATGGGCTCTTTGGCACCTCTAAAATTTACGTGGCTGCGGAGCAAACGCACTTTGAATTCGTTTCGGTACTTGAGTCCTTCTGTGGTTTATTGTAGCAGGGAATTACCCCCCTCTCGGAGCGCACTTCCTTTCCTGCCCTAATCCGGCCTCTCTTTCTTCCCCTCGGCCCAGTGAAAGAAGAAGGAGACCGAGAAATCTCCAGCTCCCGGGACAGCCCCCCGGTGCGGCTCAAAAAGCCGCGCAAAGCCCGCACCGCCTTCACGGACCATCAGCTGGCCCAGCTGGAGCGCAGCTTCGAGCGGCAGAAATACCTGAGCGTGCAGGACAGGATGGAACTGGCCGCCTCGCTCAACCTCACCGACACGCAGGTGAAAACGTGGTACCAGAACAGAAGGTAAAAATGCACCGTTCCCTCCCGCCCGGGCACGGGGTGGGCCAGGGCACCGGCTCTCCGGGCAGCCGGGGCTCGCGGGGGGCATCCTGCCTCTCCCGACCTCGCTATAGCACCCAAGGGCTCCGCACCCTCCAGGTTGTTATAAAGCACCCCCCGAGGGAAGCGCTCGGCCCCGGCCTCGGGTGGGCAGCGCTCCCCCCTGCCGAGCCCCGAGGTCTTTCACCCCTGTCCCGAACCGCGAGGGTGGATTTGGGTCGGGGGGAGCCACGCGGGCTCCTCTCCCCCGCCCCGGTAGGACCGGGGCTCCCAGCTAAACACAACAGCATAACACATCGGCCCATTAATAATAGATAGCAATTACTGCGTTGGGCATCAATAATTAACACCCTTTACAGTAATTACACAATTATTATTATGATGAATAATTTACTGGTGGAAATAGGTTTAGCGTTTCGGCGACAAAACTGTAAAAGGGCTGCGGATGTTGGGTGGCTTGGGCCGAGTTACCCGGGCGGCCCCGTCGGCGCCGTCCCCAGCCCCGACCATCGTCACCACAGCGGAACGAGCCCCCCCGCGACTGCGGCCCCCACCCGTCCCCTCCCCGGCGACCTTCAGCCGCCCTCACCCTCAAAAAATGCCCCGTCCCGCTTGGCGACCTGCAGAGATCCGCGATCCGCCGGGACGTCCGGGCTTGGAAGATGCTTCGGGGAGGCCGAGGGGGATGAGCAAAATATATATTTATATATATGTATACATATACACACAAAAGTGGGACCTCCGAGGCTGCCTGGGCCTGGTGTGCCCGCAGGAGCCGCCAAGCATGGGGTCGCATATGTAATACATAGGATACATATATATTTGTAATATATATAATTTGCAATCTGTAACCTGCGCCCAAGGAGAGGACTAAAATATTGCCCACATTTTACGCAGCATCGTTCACACCCGGCGAGCTGATTTGGGGCCGGGGTTGCGGCGGGTGGCACAACGAGCTCAGGGGCTCGTGAGCGTATCCCAAAA